CCTTAGCCCTCCCTGTGAACGCCTGACCAGAGGCCTTCGGTGTGCTTTGAAGCCATGTTAAATCCAGGGAACTGATTTTGATAGCTTGTTCTGCCGTTGTTTTTTACGCGTTGTCTCTTATGACTTTGTGATTTGAGTTTGAATTTTGGCTTTTATCATTTTTGACTTGCACACATTTGATTTTTACCTGTTTTGCTTTTTGCCTTTTTTGAGTTTTTGGCTGCTTGACTCCTTGTATTTGACCTTTATCCTTTGGAATTTTTGCCAATTGTTGTTTTGTCCTTTTGACTTCTTGTCTGTTTGCTTTGTTGGCATTTGACTTTGATCCTGTTTGACTTTTTGCTATTTGATTTGGTGTCCTTTGATTTTTTGTTTTCGACTTTTTGTCCCGTAACCAGCCGTAACGCCCCGGAGACCTGGCGCTTGCACTACGTGACGGCCCTGGGAGCGGAACACACAAATGCTGCCTCGTGGCGAGCTCAGCTCTAGAGGAGCAGACCCCGCGGTGGCCGGTATGGGCCGGGATAAGGTCACACCTACGAGGGGGTGGGGACGCGGAGGGGACAGGGCGAGCACACCGCAGGCGAGGGCACAGCCTGGTTCATTAAGGCTGCAGTTCACCGGCCGTTCAACACCGGCCCGTCTTTGGTCAGGCTTAGACTACTGATCGAGGTCACATATCAGCTGCCTCGACTGGGCTCGGGTGGGCACACACGGCTGGGCCTCTGAAACACGCCGAGAGCTAAACAATAACAAGCGACCTCCTAGGGTGTCCAGGCTACGTGAAACGTCGCCAGTTCGAATGTTCCTTGTCTAATCGCCTTCGTCACGTCCTCCACCGGTGAGCTCATCGTGGACACCATCTGTTGAACAAGACCGGCACTCGTGCAGGCCCAGATCCTCAGCCTGGGCCCGTGTAGTCGGTCCAATGTGGCGTCCGTTATACTCCACAGACAGGACAGGTTCAGCCCACACAGCTGCCTGAGCCGGGACAGCTTCAGCCCACACAGCTGCCTGAGTCGGGACAGCTTCAGCCCACACAGCTGCCTGAGCCGGGACAGCTTCAGCCCACACAGCTGCCTGAGTCGGGACAGCTTCAGCCCCACAGCTGCCTAAGCCGGGACAGCTTCAGCCCACACAGCTGCCTGAGCCGGGACAGCTTCAGCCCACACAGCTGCCTGAGCCGGGACAGCTTCAGCCCACACAGCTGCCTAAGCCGGGACAGCTTCAGCCCACACAGCTGCCTGAGTCGGGACAGCTTCAGCCCACACAGCTGCCTGAGCCGGGACAGCTTCAGCCCACACAGCTGCCTAAGTCGGGACAGCTTCAGCCCACACAGCTGCCTAAGTCGGGACAGCTTCAGCCCACACAGCTGCCTAAGCCGGGACAGCTTCAGCCCACACAGCTGCCTAAGCCGGGACAGCTTCAGCCCACACAGCTGCCTAAGCCGGGACAGCTTCAGCCACACAGCTGCCTAAGCCGGGACAGCTTCAGCCCACACAGCTGCCTGAGCCGGGACAGCTTCAGCCCACACAGCTGCCTGAGCCGGGACAGCTTCAGCCCACACAGCTGCCTGAGCCGGGACAGCTTCAGCCCACACAGCTGCCTAAGCCGGGACAGCTTCAGCCCACACAGCTGCCTGAGCCGGGACAGACAGCTCAGGCTGACAATCGTCACCTCGTTACACCCTGAAACATGCAAGAAGCCGGACCGGGTCCAGCGCATCAGCACTGTCACGTGATCGTCAGATGACGTCCGACCATTAACAGCAGCTGAACCGCTGGTGCTGTAAACGACACTGCCTATCGCAGCAGCTGCATGACGGAGAGCCACGGCATGCGGGGTCGAGAGCGCGTCCCATTGTATGGAACACTGACTTTACTCTGTCACTTCAACTGCACTATCACTGTGTTGCATTGCATTGCATTGCATTGCACATATTGACATTGCGGAGCGATCTGGACAAGGTGGAACGTAAAGCCCGCCATCTCAACACATCACGGGTACGCGTCGCAGCTTCGCAATGCGCTCCCGCTTGGCAGCATGGCACTGTTGACACATTCATCCTGCTGGCTTGGGGAAGTGTGACGGTGTCTACAGACTAGAGCGTGTTAAGATTTGCCCATCATCGCCCGGCATTACCTAAGTTCGGTATCACTGTGAGCATTGAGCCACCTTCTCCGTGTTCCCACACCACTGCTGTGTAGCATGTTGGCAAAATAGACGATTTGTTTAATAAATGCCGGACACTGTGAGCATGACGTGTGTGATATCCGACAGATGTTGAGTCTGAGACCTCAGCTGGCATCAGTCTGATCCGGCAATGTCAGCCTCCGGGTGCATGATTGCACGCGCAGTGGTTATCATCATTTAAGTCCTGATCCCGACCCACGCTTACGAAACGAACTTGAGGTGTAAAAACTCGGCCGTGCTTATCGTGGATCCCCACGACTGCGATCAGTTACGATGGTACGAACCACATTATTAACAGAATATACCGTTTCAGGTGCATGATCCTAGTGACGATTTAAAACTGCGTGATGTGGAATATGCTCACTGATTATGTTGAGTGTGGTGCGGGCCTGCCAGCAGGACGGGCAGCTGCCTCCGGTGTGCGTTAGTGACTCTGCGGGAGCAATGCACGTCCAAGGTATCGGAGGGGAGGGCAGCCGGCGGCAGGCAGGCAGAGCTCCAACGCCGGCTCGCGGTAGACCCTTCAGGCAGCGTGACGGTCTCCAGCCTGGAGACCGGGTACGCAGTCTCTCCAGAGATTGTGGGCCCGCACCGAAGTGGAACAAGTTTCACTTCCACCAGGCGTCCCAGAAGCCGGGCTGGAACGACACACGAGTTTCAGTTTCAGACGGCGCTGCATCCCGCAGCCCTCGCCCTCGCTCCCCAGACTTCCGTCCGATAACACCACGACCACCTCGCTCCCAGACTCCGTCCCGATAACACCACGGCCAAGGCATGCGCTATTGAACGATAACGCTTTAGCGTTATCTGCTGTGTTCACACTGCCAAAACACACAAGGCCTCACAGGCGGCGCCAACGGACGACGGCGGTGGCGGTGGCCAGCTATGTTGGGTGCTAAGCCGTCGCAGAGACGGCATGCGGCGAAGTAATTTCTCTAGGCGCTAATCGCTGACGTCAAACATGTCGGCCCAGGTAAGCTGCATGTGGTGGCGGCGCCCCAGGCTGTCGTCCACTGCCTGGCGCCAGTCCACGCGACACTGCCGGTACCGGCAGAGCACTCTGTACAGCGGACCGCAGCGGCGCAGACGACGTTCACGTGCGACAAAAAACAACTTTTCCATCAGTCAGCACACTCAACCAGCGGCAACGTTTGTCGCGTAGCGTGACAGTGAGTTAAAAACACGATCAACTGTCATTTCTCCCTGCGAGAGTAGGAGATCTTACGCTGGCGGCGGCTGGCGGCCAGGGGTCGCTGGCAGCTGGTTTTGTCACTACCTGCTCGTAGGCCAGCTCAAAGGTTCCGCATAAACCGTCCCATAGACAAATAACATACCAACAACAACACCAATACCAATACAAATTAACAGTAGCAATTACAAGTCCAAGAACTGGAAGACTTTAAACCTGGACTAAAGACGTAATTTTCTCCAAAATACAGCACAGCCCGCCCCATCCAGTAAGTGATCCAGCCCGCAAAAGCCCGCTGTGCTACAATGCTGACCGCCATTAATCCGAAAGTACTGCGTTAATATAACATACATTTTATCATTTCACCTCACTGTTAGAACTTCGCGTTAAAGTGCGCATAAAACGGCACGTCAGTGTCATCTAATGCATAAGATGCATAAAATTGCTATGCGAACAGCGCTGATGCTGCTCAGAAAGCAGCTATCAAAGTATCTGCACAATGAAATATATAATGCACTAAAGTAGATTTTACACAGTATTTGATCTTAGATGGTACAGTGGTTGACAGCGTTTGGTACAACGTTTGCTTCCCTTTTAGTATTAGAGCTTGCAGAATACTTGCCTTAACTAATCTCAACCAGCGAGCAAAAATCTCGACCTCGCAGCTAGTAATTTCATCACAGGCTTTGACACTCCGACGCAAGAGCTGAACATCGTGCGCCCAATTGCAAGTTCTCAGCTAAGGGCATTCAAGCAAACGCATACGGACACCAAGGTTGACCATTTGTTAACTCAACCATTTAATTAATTCGATATCAGCTGCCCTGGATGACTTGTGCGGTCAGCTCACACCTGTCGCCGGTAAGGGTCATCCGATGCGTCTTCTGGGGGACGGAAGCCTGTACGTGTTGATGACAAGCAAACCCACTGTCCAGCGGTGTCCGGTGTCCAGCCC